AGAGAGGGAACACAAGCAGGGGGAGTGGGAGAGGAAGAAGCAGGCTTCCCGCAGAGCAGGGAGCTCGATGCAGGGCTCGATCCCAGGACCCTGGGATCATGACTTGAGCCGAAGGCAGACGCTTAACAACTGAGCCACCCAGGCACCCCGATGGGTCTTGTTTTTTAATCTATTCTTTTGACTGGAGCATTTAGTCCATTTACATGAAAGTAATTATTGATAGACCTGTATTTGCTGTCATTTTTTTACTTGTTTTATGGTTGTTTTTGTAGTTTTTCTCTGACCCTTTCTTGTCTTTCTCTCTTTCATGGTTTGTTGGCTTTCTTTAGTGATATACTTGGATTCCTTTCTCTTTATTCTTTGCATATCTATTACTGGTTTTTGATTTTACCATTTGGTTTGTATATAACATCTTCTGCATAAAACAGCCCGTATTAAGTTGATGGTCCCTTAAGTTTGAACCCATTCTTCCCTCATCTCATTCCCACCGCATGTATATGGTGTCCTGTTTTACTGCCTTTTATTTTGTGAATCCCTTGACTGATTCTTACAGATATACTTTTTTTTACTGTTTTTGTGTTTCTGCTTTTCACACTCTCATTTTTGGTCTCTCCTTTCCACTCAAAGAGCCTCCCTTAATGTTTCTTGTAGGGCTGGTTTAGTGGCCATGAACTCCTATAGTATTTGTTTATCTGAGAAACTTTTTCTGTCTCCTTCTATTCTGAATGATAGCCTTGCTGGGTAGAGTATTTTTGGCTGCAGATTTTTCCCTTTCAGCACTTTATTTATTTTTTTTAATATAAACTCTGCCCCCAACATGGGGCTCAAACTCATGACCCTGAGATCAAGTGTCTCACCAACTGAACTAGCCAGTTGCCTCCCTTTCAGCACTTTGAATATATCATGCCCCCCTTCTGGTCTGCTAAGTTTCTGCTAAAAAAATCTGCTGATAGCCTTATGGAGTTTCCCTCGTATGTAATGGTCTTCTTTTCTCTTATTGCTTTAAAAAGTTTTTCTTTATCCATATTTTTTGCCATTTAATTACTCTGTCTTGGTATGGACCTCCTTAGATTGATTTTGTTGAGGAATCTCTGTGCCTCCTGGATCTGGATACCTGTTTCTTCCCTTCAGATTAGGGAAGTTTTCAGTTATTATTTCTTCAAATAAATTTTCTGCCCCCTTTCTCTCTCTTCTTCTTGGGATCCCTATAATCATTTTCTGAGTTTTGACAAATACATAGAATATTAACATCACCCCAGAAAGTTCCCTCATGCCCCATCCCAGTCAATCCCTTCCCACATCCTCCATTCAAAAAGCAAGCACTGTTCTGATTTTTTTTTTCCACAGTGGATCTTTTTTTTTTCCTATTCTAGAATTCCATATAAATGGAATTACACTGTATGTATTCTTTGGTGATTTCTCTCATTCAGTATGATTTTGGGATTCATTCATATTGTTGGGTGTATCAGTATTCATTCCTTTATATTACCAACTAGTAGTCCATTGTATGAATATATCACCATTTGTTTATTCTTTCTCTTGCGGATGGATACCTTACTTGGGTTATATCTAGTTTTTGGTTAATATAAATAAACTTGTTCTGAACTTCCTTATACAAATATTTTTGCTAACATACATATTTTTATTTCTCTTGGTTACACACCTAGGAATGGAATTGCTAGGTCATAGGTATATGTTTAGTTTTTTAAGAAACTGCCACACCTTTTACCAAGTAGTTGTACCAGTTTGCATTCCCCCTAACAATGTACAAGGAGTCTATTGCTTCACAGCCTTGCCAACATTTGGTATTGTGAGGCTTTTTAGTTTAAGCCATCTGGTAGATATGTAGTAGGGTCTGGAAAGTAGTGTCTCTTTCCAGAGGATATGTATATTGTTTCCAGAGGACCCAGGATTTTGAGCATTTTTTCAAGTGCTTTTTGGCTAATATGTGTGTCTTTTTTGGTGAAATGTCTTTTTAAATTTTTTGCCAGTTTTTATTGGCTGTTTGGTGGTGCATTATTGAGTTGTAGGAGTTTCTTGTATTTCCTGGCTACTAGTCATTTGTCAGATACGTGTTTCGCAAATAATTCTCTCCCAGTTTGTGGCTTGCCTGTTCACTTTCCCAGTGGTGTCCTTTGATGAGTACTGTTTACTTTTTCAGTTTTGATGAAGACTGAATTGTCAATTTTGTCTTTTATGGCTTTCTGTAATATGATTAAGATATCTTTGGCTACCTCAGAGTTACCAGGATGTTGTCCTATGTTTTCCTTTAATAGCTTTATTATTTTAGCTTTCACTTTTAAATTTATGATTTATC